TGAGTGGTTTCCAGAAATCATGAAGAACAAAATCATCGATTATCCTTTAAAATAATCAATTATCTGGATCTAAAAGCTTTATAAATAGCTTTCACACTTTGAAACTTCAGAAGAGAGATGAACTAAGAATCAAAAACAGAAAAACTGATATTGTGAAGTTTTTGTGATCTTCATGGAGTTTTTTCTTTGTGAAACCAAGAACAAAAACATTTTGTGAAATGCTTTGAAAAAGATCATCATCATCACTACATTCTTGGGAGAGAAAGATTAAGATTTTTTTGGAATTCACAGTCTGATTTGTTCAGCTTCCAAGTGAATTCATTCCTTTAATTCTTTGTGTAAAGTGTAAGGGAAATCTTGAGTAAGTGTCTCAAGTCGTAAGGAATTCTTGTAGCGGGTTTCTACAAGAAGTGTTTTCTTGTGGGCAAGAAAGTGGTTATCATGAATGTAGAAGTATATGCATGTGTGGTATGCTTGTAAAACTTCTTCATTGAGATAGTGGAACAAATCTTGATCAGGTTATGATTGAGGGCTGGATGTAGGTCACATGTGGAGTGGCTGAACAAGGATAAAATACTTGTGCATTCTTCTCTCACCCTTATCTTTTACATTGAGCAAAATCTTGGTTGAGTGTTAAAGTGGCTGATCTTGACTAATATGTTTGTATGCATAATATTTCTTTAAACTGAATCAAAGTATTGCATATTAGTTGTTCTTAACATTGAACTTAATCAAGATTAATCAAGAAAGCATATAGGACTCATTCCCATTGGCAAGTCTTTCAAGGAACTTCTTTGAGAATTCATATTAGAAAAGTTTAAAATTGAAATAAAGATCCTTAGAACTCTAAAAAAAATTTAGTATCACAGAATCCAATTCACCCCCCTCTTGGATTGAGTCATTCTTTTCTAACACAACACTAGCTAAGGACTTAGAGGAGACACACTCAAACCAGTGGCCTATCTAAACACCACTCTCACCCAAAACTAGTGGCATATCTAAGCACTACTCTCATTTATATCATTGGCCTATCCAAGCACCACTCTCAAGAAACTCTATGTGAGCTCTTCCAGTTCGAAAATATTTCCCTCTCCTCAAGTACTAGGCTAGACACATGCTATAAGACATCACATGCAATAATGCATCATACAACATACATGACCAATCCACCATCATGATCAATATCATCCTCATATAAACATACACACATGTCATATCTTGTTTAATCATTCATATATATCATTATCAAGCATACATATTAATCAAAAACCAATTTATATCATATATAATACATATATGAACCAATATACAACATAGCATCAAACAACTTTTTAATCCACATGATAATAACTTAACACATCAAAACAACATGCATCTCCCTTCTACAACTGTAAAAGAAAACTACACCCAAAGAGTTATACTCATCCAAATAAGCCCAAACCTATCTCAAAAGAAAGATAAGAGGATTTCCTACAACTCTTATTCAGACACCGAGTCCTAATTCCCTTGTTCACTAAAACAACCATATCTAGAGTTCTAGACCTCCTTTTTAGATGATTCCAACGTCATTGAAAAGCTAAGATCCAAGGCTACAACTTTCATGAAGACCATAAAGTCAAATTCTGAAAGCACAAAAGCGTTCAGTGCCTCCAAAGAGCTCAGTGCTTTGCTTCCAGGAATTACCCCTGGCTCGCGGCCCCCAAAAGGCTCAGCCCTTCAAAATGGCTCAACCGTTTCAAAAGCGCTCGTCCCTTTAAAAAGGCTCTGCCCTTTGGTTCCAGAAACCCTCCTCTATCACGCAGCTCCTAAAGGGCTCAGCCGTTTCATGACAAAGGCACCATGTTCTTCGCCATTTTTTGACCTCCGCACGTGAAACTCAAAGAAAACCCACATGCAATGGAAGAAATAGCATCCATGCACCAACAACAGTTCAATCCAAGTCCTAGAAACGACATGTACTCATCTGATTCATCAAGATCAACCAAAACCCCATTTTAGCTCAAAAACCCCAAAAATGAAAAAGACCCCTCAAATCCATAAATCAATCTCCAATTCATCCATCAATTGAGTTTCTAAACTCACATGCAACCAATCCATGAGCATCCTAGTTTCCCTCACCTGAAATTGGCTCAAGATAGCCAAGAACTGAGAAGAAAAAGAATTTTCTCCCGATAGCAAGCTTCCTAGCCTAAATTTCATTTAAAGACATAAGGGATTAATGATCTAGAGAATAAGAATCAAACAGAGAAATTTGGGAGAGAAAAGAGATTACAGACCCAGAGTCCTCTCTAAAACTTCTCTCTAAGTTTCTTTAAGAATGAACTTATGAAGTTCTCTTCTGAGAGAAACTCTTATATACTTTTCTTTCTAGATTTAACTAAACTCTGAAATCTACTCACTACATTACACTAACTCAATTTTTTTTTTCAGAATATATATATAATTCGTGGTTTTAGCTCTAATATTCCTTGGATATCCGATATAGAAGAACGTATGTGAAGCTTTCTTCTCTACCCTTCGTTTATTGTATCGTGGTTCATCTGATTGAAAAGTTAAGATTCAAGGTGTGAAATTGTGTATGAAAGGATATAGTGGCTTTAGTGCAAATACTTTTATTCCAGATTGAAGTAAGTTATTTCATTTTAAAAAAACGTAAGATCAAAATGAAATTTTATGAACTATTTAACATGAGAAGTAATTTATTTTCACATTGCTGTGTCTTTTATCCAATGGTTAAGTTTTTCTGAACTTACATGTTTCTCTTATTATTAAGAGAGCTCAGTTTCCTTAATTTTAAAATTTGATATTTTAGTGTTGGTCAGTGATGGAATTGTCATTTCCTCCTATGGCGTAATTCATTTCATTAAGGATCTTACAATTTACTAGGTAGGTCTCGGAGATCTCTTTGCAGAAACTTTATGGTCTTTACACAAGCTTTTCAGAAGATTATATTATATAGAACTTGGTAGAGATATTTCTATTTATTATATAGCAGATCTTAGGCATCTCTGCATGTGTTGTTTCATTAAACCATAGACATCATTCCCCTGCTTGGTATGTGTTATTCCGCTGTTGTAATATCACTATCTAAACTCAAATGAGACCAACACATCAAGGATAATAAATTTTGAAATTTCATCAAATAACTTAAACTCATACCTTTTCTTTCAGTCACATGGGATCCTTTTCTTTTTATATTCAATCAAATATTTTTCAATATCACATTAGGAAGGTGACTTGACACTAAAAGAACAACACCATGATCCCATAACATGTTCATTCAGTGATGGGATACTTCTCTTGAATTTAGATTGACACCAGCCATCCTCCAACTCCAGCAAACAATTCTAAATTTTTATAACTATTAGATGCAAATAAACATAGGTGCTGCAGGGGAAGCACTGCAAGATTGATACTTTTTTTCTATTAAATCTAATTATCTTCAACATCACATTAGAAAAGTAAAAAAAATTAACGCTAGATAAACAACACCATTATAACAAATGTAATGTATTTGGATCAACTTTCACTTTTAAAAGAAATCAATTACAATATCAGGTTAAAAGCCAAAACTTTTTAACAATTTACCATGATCTTCTTCGAAATCAAAATCTTCGCAGGAGATATCCAAACAAACTTCAAATTGTGCTAATTTCTTAAAATATCGACTCTCGATTTAATAAATCAATTCAATTATACTTGGATATGAACTTACACATAATCTATAGAAGCTTCAATAGTTTGTTGCAATGTAGCCAAGGAAGGAGGTAGTAGAAGTTCATTCGGAAGCATTAATCGATCTTACATCATTTACAAAACCGGAACTTCTTATGGACACTACATTTAATTAGTTGTACATGTGACGGTGTACAATCACATTTAAATACACGAGGACCTATCTAGTTTAAAACCAATTATGGATGGCCGACATTATTGTACAATCAGATTTCAGATTATCAATCAGACTAAATATATTGGGAGAGAAAAAAAAAACATCTTCCATGCCATTAAGCAACACCAACTTTCTTTGTTCACACTGGATTAACGCAATTGCCAATGACAAATTTCAGAGAAACGTGGATCACAATGGCAGTTCCAGACACTATAATATGCAACTCCCTCTCAGCAGGCAAACTTTGCAAGTGCTACGTAGAAGAGCTATACTAACTTCAAATACAAGCAGGGTGTAATGATATATTTTTGTGACTTAATCGTACAATAATAACCCGAATTATACAAGAAAATCATTGTAATTCGGCGGACTAAACACCACTGCACAACCCAATGTGTAAACTACCAAAAAGGGGTTATTGGAGGATGTTAATTTACGATCCCTTAATAATCTTTGGTCCTTTAAAATTTTAATACTTGAAAATATGTCGTGTATAATCTCTATTTCTTTAAATGAGACAAAGAAGACATCTATTTGTAAAAAATGAAACAACACGCTTTACACTTTAATAAACAAGAGACCACTAATTTTAGAACCAAAATCTGACACCACCCTGTTTGCAAATACTAGATGCATATATGAAACCAAAACAAAAACAAAAATGTCAAAAATCAAATAGAAAAATATATTTTGTAGAAATCTAGTTGCTTCAGTGTTCCCCCACAGCAACACACGATGCAGAATGTGGGAGTTAATTGAAAAAGGCAACACAAACACTTTAGCTTCAAGGGAACGAGTCAAATGGGAACTGAGCAAATCCACACAGACCAGATAGTGAAGCATTCTATACTTTATAATTGTAGAGCGCCAAACAGAATGTAAAACACATCAAATGGGTGATTCCCATCAAAAGTAGCACATATTTCTAGCATCACCAGCCATCATCCAACATTCATCTTCTTAAAACAGACCAATATAAAAGTCGAATTAAACCAATTCATCAAAAATAAATAAATAAATAAACGCGTTTCAAACCGAAAACACAATAACCATGTTTTAATAAAAATAAAAACACCTCAAGCATTACAAAACAAGAGTATAAAATTGATGTTGTCAGAAGTAGCTGGTAGTGAAATCATACATTAACAACATCAGTGGGAATCCGAATGATTCTTATCGTCATTCAACATCATATATTCAGGACCCATTTACAAAGCTGAAAACTTTCGATTCAAATGAAAGAAAAACTAAAAATTGTTTTGTCAAACACCAAGAGAAATTTATCTACCTTGTCACCAAAAACCCTATCAAGAGAAAGGATACTCGGAGCTAAAGGTAGACAACACGTACATATAAGATTATACATACATGTCAAATAACGTCAATGTAGCCTAACGATAGATCCCTTGACATACCAAATAGATGCTCAAAGAATTGCAATATTAGGCGCAGAATGCTAATCGAATAGAATTCAACTTAAAAATCAAAATAACCAAAAAAAAAAAAACAACAACAACAACAACCATGGTTGTGTAGGACTCAGAGAGTTGCTTTCTGTGCTCAAAGATGAAACCTTTCTACAAAAGATTCATCTCATACAAGAGGTGTCAGAATATATGAAGCACTCTTCATCTTTGCCCAAACAAATATTAATGATATGACCAAATACTTACGGAATTTTAGAATAAGCTGCGGAAGGAACTGAAGGGAATTAAGAGTTGGTGAGGGGAAGGCTCGGGTTAGGGTTTGAGGAAGTGACGAAAGAATTATCATATTTATAGGCCTAACGAGAGTCAGTCAGGGGTTGGGACGGCAGAAGGAAAAAAAAACCCTAACGCTAATATAGGAATAAACTCCATAATAAATTTTAAATAAATAATTAAATAGGTAGTTATTTAATATTAAAAGGAAATGAATAAATAAGAAGGCGTATTAGTCGATTGAGATTTTGACATTTTTAAGTATAGAGAAGTCTTTGCATTTTAAAAGATTTTATAAAAATTTAATGATTTTTAAGAAATTTTTAAAATATCTTGTTAATCAAAATTTGTAAAGTAAATTTTAATGAATTTATATTTTAAAAATTTATAAGATTTGAAAAGATTTTATTAGATTTTAAAAGATAATGTGAATTTTTTTTTTAAAAAAAGTAATATAATCAATTAAAAATAACATTAGCGACAAAGTTTGAATAAAGAAAACAGAATCAATAAAATTTCCATTTCTTTTATAAATAATTAATTCTAATTTCAGATTTTTTTAAGTGATATTTTTTTACATCAAGCTTTTTATGAAATTATATTTTTTCATTCATACTATTGAATTTGAATAATATATTCAAATTTATATTATTCATTAAGTAGTAGAATTGTCAAATTATATTTTTAATATATGTTTAAAATTTTGATATTCTAATATTAAATTTTATTAAAAATAAACATTTGTTAATTTTTAAAATCTTAACAATATATAATATTTAATATTTAATGATTCAAAAATAAATTTAAAATTTTAATAATTAAAAAATATTGATAAATTATACATCAATATTGATATATAAGAATATGAGAAAAAAAATATTGATAAATAAAAAATAGGAGAAAAAATATAGAAAAGAAAAAGAAGAAATAAATGAGAGAGATGACAAAAAAAATAGAATATACGATAATAAAAAAAACATTAGTTGAGGGTAGGGGTGGCAAAATGGGTCAGCCTGGCCCATCAATAGAAAACGGGTTGAGATAGCTGGCCCACCCTGCCTGAGGACGGGCTAGCGGGTCGGCGAGCCAGCTCGCATACAACAAAAAAAATATTACAAAAAAATGAAAAAAAAATATGTTCAAATAAAAAAAAATTGCTACAAATAAATAAATATAACCATATGAAATTAAAAATACATATATATTATACATAATATATGTTCAACAAAAGCAAATTAAAAACTTATAACAAAATCAAATAGAAATTAGTCAGCTTACACCAAAATCAAAACCAAATTATAAACTTACAAATTACTAATAAACTAAATTTTTGATAGTCCACAAAACAAGTCCAAACACAATTAATCAACTTTAACTTTCCATTTCAAGAACATTAGAAGCTCCCTTTGAAAAAGTTGTCTTTACTTTTTTGTGTTGATCATCTCCATCCTCATCTTCTACATCAAAATAAATTAAACATAAAAAAATTAAATATAAAAAAAAAAGTATTAGAGTTGGCGGGTTGTGACGATTCAGGCCACTATTTGGCCTGGCGGGCTGGCAGGTTTGGCGTGGCGGGTTTAGCGGGTTGAAATATTGGGCCCGGTCAACCAATTTTTGGCGGGCCAACGAGTCGACCCACGGGTCACAACCCATTTTGCCATCCCTAGTTGAGGGATAGAAGAAGATGAGATAGGGAAGTGTGAGTAGGAGCGAGAATAGATCATGCTAAATTTTGAATATATAAGTCAAGTCTATTCTATAAAATTAAAACTTAAATCTGACCTATCGTAGGCTTTTTTATATGTTCGTCCTGACCATTTTAAAGTCTCATATGACCTAATAGGTTATTTAAAAGTCTATTTAGACAAATACATTTAAAATTTAAAATAAGTCAACAATTATATTTTTAATACATGTGTAGTCTTTATTTAATTTGCATGACAAGTTATTTTTTTAATTTGCATGATAAAAAAATAGTTTACTCTATTATTATTAAAATTTAGAGTTTAAAATAAATTAATTAAGGGACAACTGATGCTGTAATACCCATTTTTTTGTATTATTTGTTTATCAATGACATTTTCGTAAATTTTATTAAAGATAGAGGGTGTTTGGGTAACTTGGAACGGGCTGTTCCAAAAGCGGAAAGGGCCGTTCCAAGCACCAAAAAAGAACTAGATTTAAAGATTGAGAATGGGCCCAGAACGGGCCGTTCCAACAAGGAGAACAGGCCGTTCTGATTTTGGAACGAGCCGTTCTGGAAGGAGCACGGGCCGTTCCGGAAGGAGAACGGGTCGTTTTGAATGAGTCTCGGAACGGGCCGTTCCAGTTCAAAATTTTACGTGGATTTTTCAGGCCCAAAGCAGGCGTTCCACTTTTGGAACGGGCCGTTCCGGGTTAGGCAGGCAGAACTCTATAAATAGGGGGTTGGGGTGTTGGAAAAGCAGGATTGAGAGAGAGGGTCCTAGAGAGAGAAAGAGGAGAGAGAGAGAGAAAAAGGGAGAGGAGGGGAAAGAAAGGAAGAGGAATCCAGTAGAGGAGGTTTTGCCAGGGGAGAGAAAAGAGGAGGGAGAGGAGGAGATTCTGCCCGAGTTTCGGTTCTTGTTTAAGGAAGAGGAGGAGGTTCTACCTGAGTTTTGGTTCAGGTTTATCCAAGTAAGGGTAGTACTTATAAGACTTAATCTAGTATGTATGAGCATGATAAGGGTAGTATAACTTTTAATATGTTATTTTGTTTATATGAAGATTATCATTTGTTTAAGTTGATGGTTGTTTTAAGTGTTTAGTTATTTATGTTATTATATTGAATAATTTGGCATGGTTATGGAAATTTTTGGTATGTAATTATGGAATATGCTATATGTGTGTGGTTTGGAAAGCTAATAGAACTTAGAGGAGTAAGGTTATGGTATGGATTAGATCTCTTGGTGAGATCAGGATATAATCTTTGGAAAAATATGGAATTTGGGAATCCCATGGTGAGGATTCCAATGTGGAACTTTTCCAAAGGTTATATAATAAACCACTTCAGATGTTAGGTGGATTCTGAAGTACTCCTCTAAGTATTCTATTTGCTACCGGTATGGGTCTAGGCCGAGTCATACCGATGGATGAGGTGGCCCCACCAGGGTTACGTGACGACGTAATCCAACTGTATATTTTCCATGAGAGGTTAGGCGTGGGACATGGGTTGCTGACATGTTTCACCGTATCAACACTTGGTTTGGATGGTGTTGAGGCCAACATTTGGTTTGGATGTGTTGGTTACATCATGGATTATACAGTGGTGTGACTTTGTTTTGGATATGGAATATGTATACATATGGTATGGATTGTATACATTGGTTATGGATTATTTTATTATCATAAAATATGTATACATTGGCATGGACGTGTATACATTATATTTTGGGTTGGTCTATATTTAGCTTGAAAATGACTTGTTGGTCTGGATAAATACTGTGGATAAATATCTGTTTAATGATATTTTATTATGATATACTATGGTTGGTTTTATATGTGCTAACCCTTATATTTCCATGATGTGGACTGTGATGATCTCACTATGTGGGGGAGCAGATCAGGTATGAGGCTTTGGGATAGCAAGGAGTCTTTCGGATAACTGTTTTGAGAAGTGGCTAGGTTTAGAGCTTGACCAGCACCTAGGGTGTCTTATTTTGATGTCTTCATGACATTGTAATTATATTACCTTTTTTGATTACTGTATAACCTTATTGAGGATGATGACTCTGCTATAAAATTTTGTTATATATTTTAGAAAAAGTTTTATATGTTATGGTATATTCACACTCTAGCGTAGCTGGCCCTTGTTTTATTTTCTTTAATATATTATTTATCTTTGGTTGGTTCTGGATGTGACTTCCTAGGGTGGGTCGTTACAATTTTGGTATCAGAGCTGGTCGCTCTTTGTGTACGAATCACGAACTCAGGGCATGGTTGGGCCTCCGAGCTTTGCTAAGGGGGCACATGTAAATTGGAAGTACTGTTTTAAATGCCATAACATTCTCTCATTTCTCTTCTCCCTTTATATATTCACTCTAGGCCTTATCCATTAATCCTTAATAAACAAGATGTATTTGCGACAAAGATGTTACTTAATAATAGCATGGAAAGGATAAAAAGGAACAATCAAGAATCCAAACATGACTGGGTTTAATAAAAATAAGGCGTCCCGCACAAATGCTGCAAAAAAGAAAGCCTGGCAGAAACCCACTAAAGGGGCTGCGCAAAATTAGGGCTAGATCCGCTAGGGGCTCACAATCGAAAAGGGAAACCTAGACAAAAGTAAGGATCAAAAGAAAAATGTCTGCTAGGAAACACATCCAAAGTGACCTAGGCAAAAGTTAGGACATTATAGCAACAACCTGAGTTGAAAACCGAAAGGCGGCTCAGGAAGGATCATTCAATCAGAGCACAAGACCAAGTCATCACTCCACTTTCCAAAAATATTAAAACACAACGATAA